GAGTCACAGAATTTTAGCTAGAATGGTCAACTTTGAGAACTGAAGGAAGAATATTCTGAAGAATACTGAAGAATATTCTAGGTAGAAGGAATAGATACTGCAAAGAATTATGAAATTATTTTAATTCCTTGGACTAACTTACTTAAAGGGTGATGCTATGCTATATATCCCAACTAAATCATTCATGGAAAGTCAAAAAAGCACTATTTTAAAAAAACAGAGTAAAAGCAAATGTGGAACAGTTGATCTATGCATAATTCCCCGTGTCCATCTTTTGATCTTCCATCTTGCTGATTTTAATTCCTGTTCAAACTGTTAGAAACCAGCACCATGACTATTTTTGACTTGAAGAAGCTTTTCATTTTTGCTGTTGTAGACACTGGTACCATTGGATAGTTTAGCTAATTCCAAAGAGGAAAAGATGGTTCTGATGCATTTGAAGGAAATGGTGGTAATGGTGGTAATATTTCTTTTATGCCAGTCCTGGGGCTTGAACTCAGGGCTTGGGTGAATGCTGTCTTTGAGTTTTAGTTTTAGTTTTAGTTTTTCTCAAGGTTAATGCTCTGTCACTTGAGCCACAGCTCCACTTACTGTCTGGGCTGGCTTCCAAATGCATCTTCAGATCTCAGCCTCTTGAGTAGTTAGGATTAAAGGTGTGAGCTTTAGCACCCAGTACAAATGGTAGTTTTAAAGAAATAGAATGAGCGTGCAAGGAACAGCTGAGATCTGTGCTTTAGATCAGGTATACTCAGAAGATAACATATTCAGTACTTTCTGATATACTAGAATGATAGAAAATACTGTGCACTCATGTGTGTTTTAAATTCTTTCATAATAAAGTAATTTGTAGTTAGCATGTGGCCACCCAGAATAATGAATAAGTTGTTGCTTCCCTTGATGTTTGGCAGGGCCATGTCACTAGTGTCTAGCCAGTGACATTGCAAGCAGGAGGACATTCACAATTTCCAGTCTTTCACTTTGAGGGAAGAGGCAAACACCTCCTTCCGTTTTTCCTGAGCCATACCATTCAGAGAAAGTCTTCAGACAAACTAAATGTAACAGAGTTTATTTGAATAGGGAATGATTCACAAATTGGGCAACATTTAGAAATAGAAGAGGTTCAGAGAACACTGCCAAGCAGTGTGAACAGCAGGAATTTTTTATGGGCTAAATACTGAAATGAAGCAAAGTAAAGAAATTACTTGATTGGCTATGGTTAAGGCATTTCCCAATTTGAGTGGAAAGTCCCCAGTTAGAAGTTAATTGGCAGTTTATAATTGGTAGGTTTAAAGTTTCAATATGCTATCTACATTAGCTTTCAGCTTGCTTGTACAGGAACCCAAAGTGCTGAAGCAATCTCAGCCTAATGGCCTCCCAATGAAATTTTTTAAAACAATGTTTTACACTAGTTAAGTTAGAAGTGTTGGTGCTCAAACACAAGAATCTGGATCCTCAAACTTCTTGCAAATTAAAGCCATCACAACGGCTATAACTTTTACATTAAAGAAAAATATGTTCCCATATAATTCAGGCCACAGCTCTATCAACAATAGATGAGTCATAAAACTAATATATCTTTATCAGAAAAGAGTCAAAGAAAAAATGTGAATGCCTGAACAAAACTTCAGTCATCTAGTCACCTATGAGTAGTATTCATGAAGTCCATATAACTATGGCATAGGGTTTCAGAAACTTACATTTTCATAGCTAAATTCTAATGCTACTGTCTAAGTATTGTTTAATGAGAAAAGTTGCCTAAACTGTAGAAATGAAATCTTTCAGCATTGCTGTTCTTACATTCAGTGGAGTTGAAGGTGTTGGACTCATTTGTATAAGAATAAACGAAGGAATCCCTGAACTACTTAAACATTAGTATCCATTTCCCCAGTAGAAGAGTCGCTGAAATTAAACAGAATCAGACTAGTAAATACTTCTGGCCAACTTGGAACTTACTCAGATTCATTTAGATTGATCTTCTGGTTGTAATTTAGTGTTTGATATCATTACTGAAAACATCTAACACTAGACTTTTTCCTCATTACCTTTGACCATACATTAATTAACTTAAAATTCTGTTATTAAGTATAACTAGATGAAATGTAATAATATATGAAACATATTTTGATAAAATCTGTGGTAAGGGAGTCAATGCAGGCAGATGACTCATGTGTTGATATTGTCCAAAGCTGAATAATAACATTTCACTATACAAATTGCTTTTCCTTTGAATATGTTTAAACTTTTCTGCACTAGAATTCATTATACGTGTCTTTTTTATGCATCTTAGTAAAAGTTAAACTTGGTAAAATATACAGTAGTATCATTTAAGACTATTTTAAAAAAAACATTGAATACTTATGTTGGGGTTCATTTCACCTAACATCAATTTATCCGACCTTTTCTACTTGTCTCAGACATATACTAGTTATTGCAAATAAGGGAAACCATGGGACCTATGTTTCTTTGGGCCTGGCCTATTTCACTTAATATAATTTTTTCCAAGTCTTTCCATTTCTGAACAAATGGGACAATGTCATTCTTTCTGATGGAGGTATAGAAACCAGACAAAATGTGTATTTGCGCTAATGGAAAAGAAAAAACATGTAGACATGAAAAAAATCATGATGTTTGCTACTGGAACTGTAGCTGAATCAACAAATGTTTTATTAATGTTTGTATGTTTTTATCTTAAGTAATTTTTTGCGCTAAATAAATGCCATAGAAAATTTTAAAAAGACTATTTTTACTTAATGCAAAGATTGCAAAAGTTTATAATAGGATTTCCTTTGTGCTTATGACACTTGAGCCCATAAAAGGTAACCATTGATTTCTTCAGTTTTTATTTTTGTCATCCTATTCAATTGGCATTTAAAAAGAATAAATGCTCCCTATCATCTTACAAATTTTAGGTAGCCAATATTGCTTAGAAAAGTCTGAAACTCCTCCATTATTGTAGGTCAGAGTGAAACTTGTGCTTCAGCAAGAAAAAGGAAGACAGTGGGGTGAAGACTCAGGACTAATGACAATCTCTCCAATGCAACAATTGCTCTATTATCCCTTGAAGAGGTATGTGAAAGCAACTCTAAGGACTTAAATAAGAACTATGTCTTCAGACGAGTCAGAAATTGGACAGCAAGGTGTAAGATGAAGAGAATTTAGTCTACAATAAAAGAAGAAATGCAGTCTTGACAAAATCAAGTAGTGGTTAAGGGTGAAGATAGTGTGCTGAGGAAATGGTCTGTAAGTTCAAGCAAGTTACAAGCTGTTCTTCTCCTCTCCTCCCTCCCCCTGCCACACACAGACCACATCCTTTAAAAACTGAGGCATAAGTAAGTTAAAACAGCTACATTATTTGAGACTTTATCTGCCCCTCCCTCCCTTCTTCACCACTGCAGCAAAATATAGTAGTGAAGTTAATGAAGTTACTTTAGGGAAGATTTTAGGGGTGGACATAAGAGAGGTCTGTATCGACTTGAGGGTATAAGAAGCATGGGGCAAGTCATATATTTATATTCCCATTCATTTCTCTGGATCTCATAAATCATCAGAAATTCCCCTTTTGGAAACTTTTTAACCACTTCCTAGGAAAATCTTTCTACAGCAGGCAAAGTATGTAATTCCTAACAACTTGGTTATTACAGAAGGTAGTGGGCTTCTTGAAGGCACTAAGTACACAGATAAGGAAAACAGTCCCTAAAGTACAAAAAGGAAAGCTAGGTGAAGAGGAAGATTGAAGAATATTCTCTTGACTTCATATTTTTTTGTTATTTAAGCAATTCTATTTGGAGAAGGGCATAAGGGCATAGTGGAAGGTGAGTTTACTCCTGCCATTACACAGTAAATATCAGACCTCCATCTCTTCATCCTTAAAACAAGTAAGCTTTCTTTTTCAGCTGGATGCTTGTGGCTTACACCTATAACCCTAGCTACTCATGAGCCTGAGATCTGAGGATCCAGATTCAAAGATAGCCCTAACAAGAAAGTATCTAAGACTCTTGTCTCCAATTCACCACCAAAAAACCAGAAATGGTGCGATGGCTCAAGGTGTTAGGGCACTAGATTGAACAAAAGAGCACATGGACAGCACCCAGGCCCTTAGTTCAAGCACCATGACTGAGCCCCCCCCCCACCAAAAATGGAAAAGGAAAACATTATCTCTACCCCTTTGTACATGGTTTCAAGTATTTCTAATAAATTGTCTATAGTTAGGGTGAGGAATAATTTTAGTAGAGTAGGGGAGATGGGAAAAGTCCAGACAATGGGCCTTTAAACTCATTTGATATATAACAAGACAGACAAATGCACTTCTCCATCCTTTCTCATCAGCTACCCAAGGCCATCATTTTATACAGCCCACGAATCATGTTATAAATATCTAAATGGCCCTTGACATTAAAAGAATCCCCTGATGGAAATAAAGAGGAATAGGAGTAGGTTAGAATATAGGGAATGTCTCATCCTTCTCTTTTAAGAGTTGAATTCACCTCTCCATTGTCTAAAAAATTCCTTGGGAAAACTTTGCCTTTGTGAGAACACTACACATTTCTCAAGTCTATCAGTTTGCTAAAAACAAATGATTGAATACACATTGACTTTGGGATGCAGACAGTTTCTACATAATTACAGAGACAATCTTTATTATTAAAATGCATATTATAAATTATAGCTGTAAATAAATTCCAAGTGCAATATTTCACAGTATCTTGGAAGTTATAACAAAAAAGTAACACAAAAATAATTAAATAGCCTAAGAATTCACTGATAAATTGTTGTAGACAAAGGTTCCTTGGCCTGTTATTCCAGGGGCAAATATTCCTCTTTATAAAGTTACTAGTTAAAGATGGGAGCTGGTGGCTCACACCTGAATTCCTATCTACTCAGAAGGCTAAGATATGAGGCTCTCAGTTCGAAGCCAGCCTAGGCACAAAAGTCCAGGAGAGTCTTATCTCCAATAAACTACTCAGAAAATGCTGGATATGGTGCTATGGTTCAAATGGTAGAGTAGTAGCCTTGTGCACAAAGAGACACAGGAACAGCACCTAGGCCCTGAGTTCAAGCCCCAGGACTGGAAAAATTACCAGTTAATAGAAATTTCTGGTTAAGTGAGTGACAATACATATAAACAATTTCAATATAGTAATAGCAATCAAGATTATATGAATATATGTTACTCCATATTCAGTTTATGTTGGAATAGTTACACATTTTTAAATCAAAATTTAATCAATTGTAAAAAGGAAATATGGTATTTTTATCTTTAATGATATGGAATCATAATTTAATGTATTTTTCTTTATAGTTCAATTACATAGAACTCAGAAAGTGATAAATGAAAAGTTTAAAGACAAGATTTTCCAGGGAAAAGGAAATTTCAAAAAGGAGGCAACTATCTTGATAGTAGCTGCAACTCTAATTCTCTCATAGTTTAGATTTTCCCCCTGGAAATGAGATGCTGATATAGAAAGGAAAGAGCCAATATTAAATAAAAGCAATATTTGGAAAATAATGTTTTCTAAACATATATCTTAGAATTTGACACCTTGAAAATGGTAAGCAATTGGTTTCTAAGTACAAAGGGTCCACCAAAATTGTATGAAATTGGTCACAAAGGACAAAATAATTTCCCTTCCAACCATCTGCTTCAGTGTCTGTAACCTCACTGAAAGTCACTACTTTGTGTTAATGCCTAGTCCCAAAGTCTGCTATTCATATATATTTAAATTTATATAGGTATATATGGATTATTATTAAACTAACAGTCATTAGCACCTTAGTGTTAATGAGTTGATCAGTTTCCTACATAGGACAAGATAATAGGATAGAAGGCAAAACATAGTGATGAGATGGGATTAATAATATAAATCAGATCACTGACTGCAAATCTAGATGGGCAGGCTTAGGTAGAAGGGGTGCCCATTAGTTAAGCAGCATAAAATCACTGAACATGTGTATCTTCTCTCTAAATGATATATACGTGCTGTCTAATAAATGGATTCTACCCTCAATTACTCCTGTATAGAGGGTCAATGACTTCTCAAAATATTTTATCTCCCCTTAATAATAATGTTTACAAAGAAATTAATATCTTAATACAATTAAATCAATGGTCTCCCAAAATGACCCCCAAAGTGTGCCTAATACTAATGTGGGAAACAGTACAGAGTACAGACATGATTGTCTCAATACAAGTACTCACAGTTGTTTCATAACTCTACAAATCACTTGAAATCCAATTACGACACTAAATCAGCGCCAAACACCAATCAGTTTAAAACAGACAAGACACAGTTCTAGCTATCCTTTTTAAGAATAAAATGCAACACTCCTTTAGAATTCATTTCATACATCAAAACATGTATTTTACAGTGAATAATTATGATATACATTGATACACTATTGCTAGCAGCACAGCTATTTTCCTAGCATGGTGTTATTTAAGCAAATCAATGCCTGTCTAGAGAAAACCTTCCATTATTCTTAGGCATTAGAATTTACTTTGACTTCACAAGTTTTTTTCCCCTCAAGTATATTAGTATACTGTGTTCCTAAACTACTCCTTCCTCTAAATATATAAAAACCCCGTTTGGTTCCTATTGCCTTCTGGATGAAAACTGGAATGTGTCTTCATTATATAGCCACAGATTTTAAACAGAGCTTGTTTGTGAATTTGGAGCTTTTTGCTGAAACATGTTTTGGAGTATCCTACTATTTTAAAACCTTGGATTTAATTACTACTTAAACCCCAAGTTTGTCTTGCAGAACAATATCAAATGGGTAGCAAGTAAGGTATTTTAAAGGATACTCACAGCTGCCAAAATGTTCTTTTGAACTTTTCTCAAAAGGTAAAAGAACTATCCTCTCCACTTGTTAGGAGGTAGGACTAGGGAAACTTGGACTAGAAAAAAATCAAGATAAGCTTCAAGGCTCACATAGTTGAGTTCACCCAAACCCGTCCTGTCTGGTAAAAATGGCATGACAAGAACAACCTAACTGCAGTAATAAATACAATGTGGTGATAAATTTTAACTGGTATACTTGACTTTGCTTTATCTTTTCACTCTGGCTTACACTTCATGATAAATTAGTGCACTATTTCTTCCATAGGCTCAGTAAGTGCAGTAACTTGTTAGAGCTACCTCAGTGTCATTATAGAAACATAATGAAAAATCTCTGGTCTTGGCAGGCCCATACATCTCCAGAAGTGTTCTTCAGAAATACTTGAAGAAAGGCAGAACTATGACTGTGATAAATCTGCTTTCTCCTCAGCCTAAAGGTCATTGGTGTCATCTTGAGTAGATTCAGGATAACTACTTGCCCTGGGTAAATTCAGTCTAGCATTTTATATAGTCACAGAAGGATATTATTAATTTAAGCAAACCAGAGTTTCAATAAACAAATATATGGGACAAATGATGTTTCACATTGACACTGAGTGAAGAAAACAGTTATTTTTATCTTCAAACTGCTGAGTATAATCACATATGGGAGATAAATGTGATCCTATGTTTATAACATTTTGTTTACACAGAATACTATGTTGTCTATCCTACTTGAAATACAACCAAAATATGTTGTTGGAATGTAAACTGTGATCACTACTATAAACAGACAACTATACTTCCTCTGAAAAGAGATGTGCACTGTCCATACTAGCTAAGGACTTATGCTGACTCCAAGCTAGTTGTCTCTTCGTGACTTCAGTTCAGAGATAAGGCTTTTAACTCTTGTTGTGTACAGAAATTCATTGAAATATTATAGGTTTTAATATTTTTGAAGATTGATGATAAATTACTATGTGGACATGGTAACATCAATGATGGTGAAACATAATGCTCCCAACAGATTGTGTTACAAGGATGTGTATTCCCAAACAGGTAAGACAGAAGATAACTGAAAAGATGTGAATGCTTCCTGTGAATATTTCCCTCTTGTTTTGGATATTGCAAATGTATTCTGATGTACTTGCATTCCAAGCCACATTCAGCTTTTTTTTTAAAATCTAGCATAATTCAGTTGCCATGTTGGAAGTGGTATGGTTACTTACAAATGATTTTGTATGGAGATGGATGCTATCATTCAAATCTTGTCTTGAAAGACGTCTTCGGAACTCATTAGTGGTAAAATAGTATATGACTGGGTCAAGGCAGGAATTCAGACTAGCAAGACACAGAGCTACAGAATGAAATATTAGAATCACTCTCCTAGCTAGGCAGCTTTTAATTTCATTGGACTTGACCAGGAAATCTAAAGGAAAACTGAAGTGATAAGGAGCAAAGCAAATTAGGAATACCCCTGCACAGGTTAGAATCATCTTCAAGGCTTTCTTTTTCTCTCCAACGTCTTGAGTAACAGGATATTTATCTTGAAGTGATAAAACTGTCTTCCAGGTACAGTACAGGACAATCAGGAGAGGAGTAACAAACCCAATTAATTCACCAACAGTCATCATGGCAACAGACTGAGCCAGATTGACATTCCTAGTAGGGAGATCCACAAAGCATTTGGTTCTGTTGCCTGGTGTATCCACGTTGGTTCTGAGAAGAGGAAAGAGTAGACAGGCAAGACAGATAATCAACCATCCAGCAACGCTGATGTACAAGTCATATTTCTGTTTGCAGTCATTGAAGCGAAAGGGGTACATGAGAAACCAAAATCGTCGCACACTGATGCAGACCAAGAAGTAGATACTGGCATACATATTAACATACTTCAGATAGAAACAGAACATGCAGAGGCCAGGCCCAAATGGCCAGTCATGGTTCAAGTAGTAAAAGATCCTCAGTGGCAAAGAAAGAACTTGTAATAGATCAGCAATGGCTAAGTTAATCATAAATATGACAGCCCGTTTGGTTTCTTTCATGTAACCATAAAATACCCACAAGGCTAATATGTTCCCTATGAGACCTGGCACAAGAATGACAGTGTATGTTACTGCATAAATAAAGTACCTAAAATCTGTATTGTCACCATCTGTCCTATTGCATGTGTCATTAGCAAGCATGATTCTTTCTAGAGAGACTGTCTTTATCTAATGATTATCCAAAATGTAAATTCACAATTAACAGCTGCTCTTTCAACCAGACGGATGGCCAATAGTTCAGCGAGATTAAGTACAAAGTAATCTTTTTGCCACATCTGTTAGTCTCTATGGATGACTTTGGAATGTTTCAAACAATTAGCTGCATATTTGCCTTGGATTTGTCCACAGTAAATACATGGGAGTCCACTATGCAAGCACAAATGAAAAGTTAACATAAATATTCTCCTTTTGTTTACTCTATTGTAAGGCCTTCTGGGACATCACAACATTTAGTTTTTTTTCCCATTTGGATCATGATGTGCTATATAACAGCTCTTCAGATTCCCATATAATAGCCATATCCTTACAGGTGATGAGCAGGCTTTTTTATTCTTTTATTGGCTCACATAGAAGAAACATTTGATTCAGTGCACAGTTCTGGGATGTCACTCTTCTGGGATGATTAACTTGCAGAGAACAGATTCCTGAGACTTTTTCAGATATATGTTGAAAATGTAAAATTGAGACACAGAAGCAAAGCTGCAAGTAAAAAAGAAACAAGCTAATTAATATCTGGCATGTTGTTGAAAATCTTAAAAAACATATAAATACATATATATAGAAAAATACATTGATTTGAATAGAAAGCTTTGATGTAAGGATAATATGCTACAGTTCCTACAAGCACTTTATAGTAACCACAGAAAAGTATAAGAATGAATCTGAGAAATAGCCTACCCTTTTTGTTCCTCAAAATCTATGAGCCAATGCTATATGGGGGGGTGGTAGAAATTAAATATTTCAGCCCCTTTAACCTCACCAGACTTGCAGGATCAAAATCAATATTTTAACAATAACCCTCAGGTAAAATCTTGTGCATATTAAGACAAGAAACTCTAATCTAGACTATTGTTTCACAAGCTTCATAGATTTTCACAATCATCTGGGGAGGTTTAGAAAAAAAAGTACAGTTTTTCGGGTGTTTCCTCTAGAGATCCTGATTCAGTATGCTTGGGGTAGGGCCCAAAATTTGTATTTTGTAAAGCTTCCCATATGATTTGGATATAGCCAGCCCAGAATATGTCCTTGAACCATCATTTGGGGGCCATTGATTTGATCCAAATTCTTCCCAGATGTCTGAAAATAAGTGGGCAACCAGCCTCTCTTTAAATACTTCCATTTACATGGGTCATTTAGTCACCTCTTAATTATCCAAGACAACAGACCATAGCACCAGAACAGAGAATCAAAATCCCCAGAAAGTTGATTCAGCTGGATCCATGACCCTTGTTCTGAGGTAAACAAATTTTCGCTTAGGGACTTGGATAGTTGCCTCAAGGCTGCTGAAATCTAGGAGGACTTAACTGACTTTAAAGATATGTGGGAAGAACAAAAATGAAATGAGAATTATGAAACATCCTGCTTTGGATTATCAAATCCATGTGGTTTAAAGTGTACAACATTCAGCTCCTCAAGGAATCATTATTGTTATAGTGCCTGGTAAGTAAATTCCCTGGCAATTAAAATAGAATATTTTGTTCAAAGATACAGTGATGCTCACTTTATTTAAAGATCTTGATGTGTAACCTGAACTACGCATTCAGTTTGATGAAGTATGGAATATTTGATTTCTTATATTTCTTGGATAAGAAAGATAGTGTTAAAAAAAAAAAGTCAATCTAAGTACTGGTGGCTCATGCCTGTAATCCTATCTACTCAGGAGGTTGAGACCTGAGGATGTTGGTTTAAAGCCAGGCTAGTCAGCAAAGTCTTGAGATCCTTATTTTCAATTACTCACCCAAAACCCAGAAGTGGAGGTGTGACTTAAGAGGTAGAGCACTAGCTCTGAGCAAAAAAGGCTCAGGAACAGTGCTCATGTCCTGTATTCAAGCCCCAGGACAGGGATACACACACACACACACACACACACACACACACACACACACACACACACTTAATAACTGAAGGATAGAATAGTTACTGAAAGGGTTGTTACAGTTGAGGTTCTTCACCTCCTAAACTTATATATATATATATATATATATATATATATATATATATATATATATATATATATATATACATATATATTTAAATCATTTTCACAGAAAAACAGGTCACTGATAACAGATACATGAAAAGGGAAACGTAAATCGAAACCACTATGAGGTATCTCACTCTGAAGAATGACTATCATTAAAAAAGACAAAATTCAGGGATGTTAAGATCAAGAAAAGAGGGGTAGGCAAATGAAGAGGAGGGTGGGAGGGAGAATGCAATCATAATATTCAGTGTATATGTGTGAAAATGGAACTAGGAAAATTGAGGGGATGGATAAATTTAGGAGAGATGGGGAGAATGATGAAGGGGTAATCAAAATGCTTTGTACTCACAAACTGACATGTGGAACTAAACCCCCTTCATACAACTACTTAAACATATATATACACATACGTATGTGTGTGTATATATATGTATGTATATATATGTATGTGTGTATATATATGTATGTATATATATGTATGTATGTATATATATGTATGTATATATATGTATGTATGTATGTATATATATATATATATATATCCATTGTGGGGCCTGAACTCTGGGCCTGGGCACTGTCCCTGAGCACTCTACCACTGAGCCACCTTCCCAGCCCCAGGATATATATTTTTAAAAGACAAACCCTCTGTACAGTATTTTCACAACAACAAAAAAAGATTATGGTGAAAGGGGAAAAAAAAGATTACAAGTGCTGGTGAGTATGGGGAGAGTAGGAAATCCTATATTTGGGTGGGAATCTAAATTGTTACAGCCATTATGCCAAATAAATAGCACATGGGTTCCTCAAAAAATTAAAAATAGAGATAACATATGTCCCTACAATCCTTGTCTGTGTCTGTATGCAAAAGAAATGGAAATTAGTGTTTCCAAGAGACATCTGCACTCCATGCTCATTTAAATATTATTCCCAACAGCCAAGATACTGAATCAAGCTAAGTAACAATCAACAGATGAATACATGAATACATAAAGAAAAGCTGGCACGTGCGCGTGCGTACGTGCACACACACAGACACACAGACACACAGACACACAGACACACAGACACACACACACACACACACACACACACACACACCAGAATGTTATTTAGCTTTAATAAGAAGTAAATTCTGTCATTTGCAACATGAAGGACATCATGTTAGGTGAAGTAAACCAGGGACAAAACCAAATACTGTATCATCTCTCACATATTCTGGATCTATAAAAGTGGAAGTCATAGAAGTAGAGTAGAATGGTGGTTGCCAGGAATGGGATGGAAATGGGGAAATGATGGTCAAAAGGTATAAATTTTAATTTATAAATTGAATAAATTCTGTGTATCTAATATCAGTATGGAAGACTACAGTTTATTCTATTATCTTGTTTACTTAGATTTGATGAGAACAAAATTTAAGTGACTTCACTTTGTACCTAGCCTCATACTACATTTATAGACACACACACACAAACACACACACACACACACACACAATCTAATGGTATCTTTTAATATGATTTTCCTTGCTATTCCTACTTAAAACTGCAACTCCCTCCCAGTTATCCCCAACTCCATTCGGTATGTATTTTACTCACTATATAAATATATTGTTACACACATACATGTATATATGTATATATATATATATAGATAGATTTATGTATATATCTCTCCATTACTCTCCTGTTTAAAATTTTTATTTTCTACTCTAGATCAGGCAGGCTTTTATGACTTACTGTCCCAATTGCTTATCTTTGTCCACCATTCTTCATAAAGTATCTTATTTTTTTCTAATATAACCTATTTAAAAAGTATCCATGGCCCCATATTTCCCACAAACTGCCAGACATGTGGTTTGGCAGTACATGGCTTCTAATACAGAGCTATGTACCTCTAGAACATTGTGTCATACTACTCTGTTAACATGGCCAGCTTTCCAGCCCAATTGAACTCATATTCTTCACACTGCCTTTTTTCTTTTCACAGTGATTGATCATTCTGCTACCTCAGTCTGAACATCTGTTGTTTCCTGTCAATCTCACCTATTGATAAAAACTTTTCTCATTTCCTATTCTTCCTGAAACATTTTGTGCTCAACTCAATACCATTATGCTAGCCCCTTTGTTTGAACCCTATTTGTAACTCTGCTATATCTAACTTTCTCTTCTTTTTGCTATGATGATTTGTGTCTGTGTCTTAGTTATTCCACTAGCCTCCTTACTGCCACATAGGAAGTCCAGAAACTCCTTGACATTACGCAGTAGACTCTATATACCTTTGTATCCCCTTGGAGGGTTGCTAAAATATGTCTTGGAACATGGCAGATATATCAAATATTTACTCAGAAAATATTTATTCAGTATTTATAATTTCCAGGCACCATGCTTGGTTCTGGGAATATAGACAACAACAAAAAAATTCATATAACCTCTGTTTTCCTGGAACTTATAGTCTAATGAAACAGAATGATAATTGTCATATGGTCTGAAAAAATGTGATATTAGTCAGCAAACCATGAGAAATCACATAAGATACACTTAAACTATTAAGAACATATTTGATGCAGTGAACTAAAAATAAAGAGTATAAAGGTTGCAAAGCCTAAACTCATTCTATTGGTCATTTATTCCCTCACTGGCCACACATTAAAAATATTTTATTAGTATATATTTATACAAGGTAGTGTATTTTATTATGATGTCTTATGCACATATATAAGATACTCTGATGTCATGAATTTTTCATCATTATATTTTAGCCTGCAAAATTGTAATGCTCCTGAATAAAGCTACTCCCTTAAATTTCTTCTGGATCCCTTAAGAGATTGTTGATGTTTTACCTTCATATAAGGACAATTGTTTTCTAGTAGGAAAAGTTGATGAAGGAGGCTTCCAACCAGGGGAAAACTTATGTCAGGTGGGCTAAAATTAGCATAAAAATACACTTATCTAAGTATACTTAGATAATCATACCACTATTTAAATAATGTCACTATTCTTTGAGATTATTCTTTCATAACAAAAAATCCACCTTGTACAGTCTCTGTCTTATACTCCTATACCAAATGATTTAAGTGGAAAGTCAGACTATTCTTCCTCAACTGTAATTTGTTATTTGGGAAGAGGAATACATCAGAAAGAAAGAGAAATCAATGACCCAAATTTATCATACTTTATTTCCAGTGATCTGTAGGTCAGAAACGATTTCTTTCATATGAAATTCTTTCAGGAAGTTGTATTAATACTTATGCCTACATATCTGTTTGGTCAAAACTTGAGCTTCACTAAATTTTATGTTTAAAAAATATGCTCCACACATTTTGGTTGCTTATCCAGATGAAACCTGATTCAAGTGAATATCAGGGAAAGCTTGTATCATTCAGTACAGCTCACTCTGAGGAAAAGGCTGTTTGTTTTTAACCTATTAAGTTTTAGCTGATAATATCTAAAGACTTCCCCCATCCATAAAATATGTATTTAAGTTTTAATACAGGGAA